ACGAAAAATATCTTTGTATGGTTCAGTTTAAAGAACGTTTTGTACAATAAATTTATCGACAATCACCTTTGGTTTATTTTCTTGCATATCGGGAATTGCTTTTCCCCAACACTAAAATATCACTCACAAAGTTTCGTTTAACAAAGTTTTTTATTTGCGGTTACGTATCACTCCTCTTTTTCTCGCTTCTCTCGCACACTATCTCAAATTTTACATTCCCATATTTATCTTGTCAATCATCTGTTATTTTATCTTGATCTCATTACTGTATATTTCTCAATGTTCTGCTATATATAAATGTTCAACAACTAAAAGTTCAAATTCGGTTACTTAATATATAATGTCTATCAACTAAATAATGAAAACCTAACAACTTTCCAACACCCTCCCTCTATTTGCTACACGAATGGTGCAAATATAATTAAATGTCTTAACAAAACGAGTTATAATAATGTTAAATGTAAGAAAACCTGTTCTTCAAGTTCAGACAAGTTACCATATTCATGATATAACAGTTTTTTTACTGATCCTCTTCATTTTCGGCGATGTCTTGCAATCGCATCGTTGCAGCTGCAGCAGCATCTCGCTTCGGTCTGAATGCTTGAGCATTTGGGTCGAGATCTTGTGTCTTCTTCTTGGGCTTGCTCACGTCACACGGGAGTTCTAACGTCACACGGGAGCTCTGCACAGCACGTTCGAGGTGACTTTTACTGCTCGCAACTTCACCACACGAACACTCCGTCACGTCCTGCAATCAGATCCTCCACGATTCCTGATTTCCACTTGTATCAGTTGCGTTCATCAGATTTTATGATCACTACATCACCTACTTTCAACGTAAATTTCTTGTTGTTGTGTTTAAGATTGTGCCTTTCTCGCAATCCTCTCACGTACTCGTTCGTCCACCTTCTCCACATCATATCTTTGCACTTTTCGATTTGTTTCGCAGTCTTTCTGAGATCTGCTTCTTCAATATCTCGGTAATCTTGTGTAGGGATTTGATTAGGTCGGTGGAACATTAGGGAATTGGGTGTCAGCACCGTTGATTGGAGCTCGTCCTCGACGTAGCGAAGGGGTCTGTTGTTCAAAGCCACTTCGACATCGAGCAAAAGTTCTTGTAGCGTATCCCAAGTGAGGTAAGGTACTCCCACCTGCTTTGTAAAGTGCCTGTTTTACTAGGCCAACGATTCTCTCGAATTGACCACCCCACCACGGTGCTCTACTCGTGTTGAATTGACACTTCATCTCGTGCCTTGCGAGCCAATCGTCTAGTCGTTCGTCCTTCATTATTTGTTTGAGCCATTTTACCGCTGCCACAAATGTCTTGCCATTCTCTGAATAGATATTCTGGGGGAGTCGTCGTCTGGCGATAAGACGTTTCAAACTTTGCAAGAACTCGTTTGTTTCTTGAGTTGGCAACAACTCCAAATGCACTGCTCGGATCAAGCTGCAAGCGTACAGTATGATGTATGCATTTCCTTCACGTTTTGCTTTCGTCAAATACTTTATGGGACCAGCATAGTCTACCCCAACGACTTGGAACGCCGCACCGCCCTCGGTTCGATCTCTGGGAAGGTTTTCGGTTGGTGGGTTTGCTACTGCGACTGCCCGGAATCTTATGCACGTATTACAATTTTTCGTCACTCGTTTGGCAATGCTCCTTAGTCGGAGGGGGGTCTGGTATTTCTCCCTATACATTGCCATGGTCATTCCAACTCCCCCATTAGAGCTGAGCTTGTGGGCATGCGTGATGATCTTTTCGGTCAATAGCTCGTTATCTGGTAGGTAAACAAGATAGTGTCCTCGTATTCTACCCTGGCACTCGTAAATACCTTCGTCGTTTATTTTTAAGTTCAACTGTTGTTTATCTTCCTTGAATGCTTTCGTTTCCTCGTTACGTTGTTGAACCTTTTTCACCAAAAGTTTGGCTTGTCGACTTGTCTCCTTGGTTGTTAAAGGCCCAACCACTTTGTGTTCGCCACCGTTTCTTGCGTTGTTCGCGAAACGACTCATTCTCGCTGTTATTCGTATCGTTTTCCAATAGTCCTACTTCTGTAAGAGTTGATCTAACTCGTCTTCTACTGGAACTGCCACAGCGAATAATTAACTCTTTCACTGCTGCTTTAGTTTCTGCTTGGGTCTCGATGGTATCCTGGGTATTGATGTTTGGTGGCCATTTGTCTTGATCGAGCAGCCAGGCAGGACCGTTCCACCAAAGGGCAGCTGATTTTCGTACGTCACCTCCTCAACTGCCAAGGTCTGCTGGATTATCGGCTGATGTCACGTGTCGCCATTCGATGTAACTTTTCTGCTGGATTCTTCTCACCCGGTTACCCACGAACTGTTTGAACTCGCCGTTTTCACGGATCCAGTGTAACGCCACGGTACTGTCTAGCCATCCCACGACACGTTGGACAGGAAATCCTTCTAGAGACGCTCGCATCTCCGAAGGCATGCAACTCGATGGACTTGATAGGCTCTTCCGGCTTAGCGAGACTTCTCGGTACGGTGACTTGATACGGAAGGTTTCGCTCATACTTCAACCATCTTTGTTGCAGTGTACTCGGTAGGGGTGCATCCCAGGCAATTCGAAGATCGCAGGCGTCTCGGTAAAGGGTTTTCCAGTTAAGGTTAATGGAGACACTAGGCCAAGGGGATCGTAGATTCTCGCCATCTTTCCTAGAATACCTCTCTTGGTGCAAGCTGCTGGATCGTTGGGTATGCTCACTTGAATGTCATCTTGAACTTTGTCCCGAGTGAGTCCAAGTAGCTTTGTCTCGCCCTGTTTCACTCCAAGTTGTTGCTTGGCATACGTTTGATTTTCGTCCGTAACAGTCGTGTATTCTGTTTTGATCTCTTTCACGTTTGAATGCCATTTGTGCAATTCGAACCCAGCTTTGCTAAAGACTTCTTTGGCTGTTTGCTTCAACTCGAGGCCTCTTGTCGTGCTATCTGCTCCGCCGATAAGGTCGATCGTCAATGTATAAGCTTTTTTCGATCTCTGCTACTAGGTCGGGGTATTTTGATTTTAGGCGTCGCAAATGTTCCTTGATCACGCCAGCAAGCAGGAATGGAGATGGTGACCAATCCAAAAATGGCACGAGTGAATCGCAGAACTTCTATCTCCTTAGTTTGCAGATCTTTCAGCCAGTGAAAACGCAAGACGTCTCGTTCGTTCTCTCGAATTCGTACCTGCAGAAAGGCTTGTTTTAGGTCTCCCGTTACTGCGATTGGATGAAATCGATTTCGAACTAGCACGTTCCATAGAAGATTTTGTAAGGGTGGTCCGGTCTCCAGGCAATCATTAAGTAACAGTACTTTAGGGTTGGCACGTGCTGAAGCGTCGTACACTATTCGTGTCTTCGTCGTTTCGGCAGATTCGCGGACGACAGGTTTGTGAGGGATATAAAATTCCTTGCCTTTGGCGTCGTTTTCCACACGTTCTACTATCCCTTGGTCCAGCTGGTCTATGATAATCTTGTCATGCTGTTCTAAAGTATCTTGTTTCTCTAGTTTGCGTACTAAGTTGTGAAGACGAGTCAGGCTTCCTGCTTTGTTATTCTGGAGTGGAGGGTGATTTCCTTTCCAAGGAAGGCAAGTCTCGTACCACCCCCTTGGATTTCTTGTCAACTGCTCCTTGAACTCTTCGTACACGATTTCTTGGTTGCCGGTTGTAGAGTCCTTTAGTCCTAGCACGTCTAGTCTGCAAAGTTGCTCGTAATCTGGAGAGGCAGTTTACGTCGATAACATTTGGGTTAGGTCGATTTATTTGCCGGGGGAAAGGATTGTCCAGCCAAATCTCGTTAATTCGGCTACAGCTTCGTTGGGACGTCCTAACTTCAGTTTCGTCTCGGTCTTAATTCGGGCGTACTCGCTTGCACCCAGAATTAGGTGCACTGGAAGTTCCGGTTCCTCGTCGTTGTCATGCATTTTTACTCCGTTTAAATGTGGATATTTAACTAAAGTTTCTCGGTACCGGGGATTTTCAATGTTAATAAAAATAAACATAAACCGCGATGAACAGGAATAATGGCGTCAGCAATCGTTTTCATACGCCAGGATAAGAATCGTATACGATTTGTCTTATCGCGTGGACGGGCCTTTAGATATTTGCCGTAAGTCGTTCGTAAATCGCCTGCACACGAGAGTTATCTCCTTACGTCGACAGTCACGAACGACATTTTTCTGAGCACATAGCTCTAGTGTGCGCCGGGCTTAGAGGTACAAATCACCACAAAAATGGATTAACTGGCAAAAAAATGTTGCAGTCATACTTCTATTGCTACATTTTTACAATGTAAACTATCTTAATAGTTATTAAATATTTAATAGTTATTTAAAAGTTATTTAATATTTATCAAATATTTTAATATATATAGCCCGTTTGCTGTGACCTCGAAAAGTGCCTAGAAAACGCTTTTCATTTCCCATGACTTGGAACTGAAATATTTTTACGGGAACTAACACTTTCGTACACGCTGAGTTCAAATTCGAAAAGTTCCCGCTCCGTAGATCCGCAGATTTCCCGCAAACTGCTATTTTATCTTCACTACTTGCGACAAAAATGTTTTACACCACGATGTAAAACGGTAATCTTATGTAATGGGTCAGCATTTAAATATCCAATACAGTCGAGTCTCTGAAACATAATTCAAGAGGTAACTTATCGTGTTAGAGATTAACAACAGATATACATATATATAGACAGTATCTACAGTTAAGAAGCCGGAAATGCGGCGTGCGTGGTCACTTCCGGTGAAATGAACACATGTCTTATAAACATTGAAGTGACGAGAGCGAGCGTGCGAGTTGACATGTTTATATAGAGCGAGATATAAAACGAGTAAAAATAGAGAGATTTGTTAACTAAACCAGTGATTTAGATACTGTGAATTGTCGTAAACACTACAGGAGGCAATTTACAACACCTGGGCACTCCCGACGGGATTGCATGTAACTAGAGATTTAGCTTGAGCAAGAGCAAGGGAATTCCGAATATAATGGCATTGAAACAACAACTCGACGAAATTGATGGCAAGTTACGTTTAGTCAATTTTACGACCAAGATAACCGATGATATACTTAAAACAAACGATGAAGAAGTCGCTATTCGACAAAAGGGTCAAATAACAAAGATTATTTGGGCTATAAGTGACCTGAAACAGCTAATCGAGGAAAAGAAATTTATCGCAGGCGACTCCGAAGAAAATGTCGCAGCATGGGGGGAATCAATCGAGGAAAATATAGCTTTGGCCGACGAGAAAGTTAAGAGCGACTGTCCAGAAATATCGAACAAATTCGAAAATTACCGGCCACAGTCAAAATATAAAATTCCTTCATTTTTGATTTGGTGTTAGTATTGTGTGAGTTTATAAACGTACTGGAGTCAGTTTTTCAACTTACGCAAAAAATCGGGATTTTTTTGAGAAAAGAGATTTTACCCTGTTTCGGTCTAAAAATATCCCAGACGACGGCAAGCAATAACACTTCAATAAATCTTTTGGCTTGATAAAAGAACCCCGGTTACAAGCTATTTCCCACTCAATTCTGAGAGAACAGGTATCAAAGAGTTGTTACTGGCGATTTTTGCATTATTAACCCGAGTTTATACGGAAAAATTTTGATTCTCTTAACATAGTCTTTCAAAATCTCGTCAATAGTCCAAGAATACAATTTTTTGCATGTGGCCATTCTCCAATTTCCATGAAAATCAGGCAGTACAACCTGCACATGACAAACTAAGAGCGACTGCAAACATTTGTTTTGGTTTTTGCACAGTCGCAATGAAATCTGCAACTGAAGTTGGAAAAATTCGCAAGGAAAGTAGGTTAATTACAAGTTTGTTTACATCACCGGGCAATGGCTTGCCCGCCAAAAAATCATTAACGTTTTCCCAGCTTATTAATTCAGACGGTTAGTTTGATCTAAAGCATGACACGATGCGCCTTTAAGAATACCTTAAGTAATTACCGGCCATTTAAATTAGACATTTCTGGTGTTATTTACCCTGGTTCCATGCAGAGGTTTATTTTCATTTTATATAATATCACCTTCGCCATTTCTAATATTACTTACAATGAAATTTTATAATAAATCTCTGGCACCAGGGTAGTTGTTATTTAGTATAAATAATTATTAGTATGTTTAAAGATGTTGCATTTAAAATTGTGTTATAGACTGATGCATGAAAATAGTGGCGCCAGCGACTCAACGGTCCTTTTAAAAATGCGCCAGAACGACAACATAGTTTTTCAAAATCTCGCTAATAGTGTATTTACCTAACGTATGCGATTTTTTGCATGTGGCCATTCTCCAATTCCATGAAAATCAGGCAGTGCAACCTGTACATGACAAACTAAGAGCGACTGCAAACATTTGTTTGGGTTTTTGCATAGTCGCAATGAAATCTGCAACTGAAGTTGGAGAAATTGGCAATGAAAGTATGCGTTAATTACAAGTTTGTTTACATCACCGGGCAATGGCTTGCCGTACTGCATATAATACTGAAATGTATATTTTTGTTATGAATAATATCTCGTGCAGTTAGGAGAGATTATATAGGAAATAAAAACGGAAGTCGTGTCACTGGTGTGTGGTGTGTGACCGCAAGAAATGCCCAGGGATTTTGAAATTCGTTGTGAATTAATCGTCTCTAGTTCAGTCTCTGTCTTGAAATTTGTTATTGTCGATTTCAACGTGCGCCTCCTTTGTTCGTCATGAAAATCCCAATTATTTAGACACGTTCAAATTTTTATATGCTCAATTTTTAAATGTTCAAACTTTGACCACACTTTGCAAGGTCATTTCCACTCTCATAAACAATCACTCAGAAACGAACAGAAAACAACATGCAAAAATAGAATAAAGTAGTATTTGAAGTTCAATTTTAATAAGTATACAAGTAACTTGCAACGTAATTGGAAGTTTTATAACAAATGTTGCCTGGGAACGACAATATAACTACATATTGTGTTCGCAAGTATGGAAGTCAGTGAATCATGTTCATTTCGAGCTATTGTTAGCGGTCATTGTGGGTTCGATCCGAAAGACAGAAATAAATCTACTACCATTATTTCTTTGAGAAACTGCACTCGCGATATCGACGAGCATAAACGATATATGTGCATAACTGGCGTTGAATCAGAAATAGAGTTGATTTTAGCAAGGGCATTTATTTTTGAGTCCTCAAGAAATTTAGACAGCTTTACAATTTGTCCACATCACCGTGCATCCTTAGGTGTAAGTTGGAAACGGTGATCTGCGAAATGCTGCATACCAGTAATTCTTTCTCAGCCAAAGATGATGTCAAGAAAAGACCAAAAGCAGAGAGGGGTTTGAGTAAAAGTGGGTCAAGAACCGTGTTGAAAAAGATTGGTGTATTTCTTCCAGTTGGTTCAGGTATGTTGGAACAAAGACTTTTGGCATCACCGAATAGTCGTGTACACGATTGAGCATTAGTGGAAGTAAACGCATGAAACGTTACAATGTTTGTACACATATTCTTTTCCAGGGGTGTGTTCTAAATGCATAAAGATTCTTGCAGAGGCCCTCAAGGAAGGTGAAGTTATTTTCCAAATTAAAGAATTGACTTTGGTCAGTAACTTTTCCTTTTATCTGAGAGCAGTAAGAGACACAGTTTGATGTGTGCCGAGCTACACGTACCGAAAAGTCAATAGTATCTACTACCAGTTGTCAAATTAATCAACTTTTTATAACGTTTAAACTAATTGAAATATTGGTTGTGTCTTAGGACGAGGTTAAAGATACATCTGTTCCTCAAGCCCAAAGTACACCAGCTGCATTTGATCTTTCCCTTTTTTCTTTGGAGACATTGGAAGGAACCCTCCATTCTCCATCAAATACGGGGATAGCCACAACTATCACATCCCAGGATAGCAGAGCTTACAGTGATGCAAATCCAATTCATAAGCTGAACGAGTTCCTTCAGAGTAAAGATGTTAGTCCAATTAGATATCCTGTCAAGGTACCCTGGGAAGAAGCGAGTGAGAGAACGAGACACCGCCACACACGTAAGGCCAAGCAGGCGGTGCAGGCTGTTCTTAAAGAAGTATCACCAAATCAATCCGAACATTTGTGGCAGTCCGTTGTTGAATCAATGTCACCAGATAAGCAGGAAGACGATAACATTGATCAGATTCTCATCGTGAATGCTTTAACAGAATGCTACAATAATGCGAACTCATGGGAAACTCGGCGCCAAATATTATCTATAATGGCTGACAAGGTAACGTTTTCTACCTTAAAAAAGTGGATTCCAGATCTTACCAGATATCGTTTTAATGTGGCAAGAAAACATGCTTTAATTCACGGCAGAGGAGTTCCCCTTCCCATGATAAAGCAGACCAAAATGTTCGTTTCTCAAATTCAGCTTGATCATTTTTGGGACTTTATTATACAGCGAAAAAAAAGAGCCAAAATCTACCCAAATTTCTTCCAGTGATAAGGCAAAAATGAGTAAAATAGAAAAGATGATAATACAAACAAATGTAGCAAAAAAAAACGATCAAAAAGAGCAAGATATGAATAAAATGGACAAAATGTTTGAAATGATGAAATCCATGATGGTGAAATTGGAAACTGTAGACGAAATCAAGGAGCACATTCTATGCGTTGAGAAAGATGTAAAACAGATGAAGGATTCGATTGAATTCGTTCACGCCGAAGTTAACGATCTGAAAGATGAAGTCGAGAAAACGAAGCGGTCTGATGAGGAAAATAGAAGGAAAATCCGCGAGTTAGAAGATACAAACCGTCGACTACAAGAAAGCGTTGTCGACCTTAAAGCACGATCTATGCGTGATAACCTGCTTTTCTTTAACGTAAAGGAATACGAAAAAGAAAACACAACGGAGAAGATTTATGATATCCTAGAACAAAATCTAGAGATTTTTGACGCAAGAAACAAGGTAAAGATCGATCGTTCCCACCGTGTCGGAAGGAAACGTGTTAGCCAACGAAAGCCTAGACCGATTGTTGTGAAATTCAACTATTTCCAAGACCGTGAACAAATCAGACAAAATGCGAGAAAACTAAAAGGTTCGCGTATTGGAATTTCAGAGCAATTTCCCGAAGAGATCGAAAAAATTAGACAGACTTTATACCCAGAAATGAAGAAGGCCAAAGCGCAAGGTCACCGAGTTCGGTTGGTTCGAGACAGATTATATATAAACAATGTTGAGTTCAAACCTTCCAGTTAAGTGTCATTATTATCAATCTCTGTATATCACTCCTACTATTTTACTACTCATCTATAAGTCGATATGGCTAATCTATCATTAGGTAAGAAAATATGCTTTTCTTGTTTTCTTGAAATAAGTAAAAATCATAAAACTATAAATTGTCTTACGTTCGGGGGTTGGTTTCACGCACGTACTTCATGCGTAAAATCACCTCTTGCATGCCAACAAACGGAAGTTGATATCTGCAACATGTGTTTAAGTTGCGCGCTTCCCTTTTACTCAATTGACGATTTAGAATTGAATTGTATTCTTGGTGATTTCAATCGAATTCCTAGCGATGAGGATATGGATAGACTAACACAACTCAAATTTAACCCTTTCGATACCAACTACAGAATTTCAAACTGTCCAAATTATGAGAGCTATATGTCTGAAAATTTTGATAGTTTAACATGCGATTATTACCTACCAAACGATTTTAACTCGCCCTCAAATCATGAGGCATAAAAGGTAACTGTAAATAGCAGTTACTTTCATCCTGCTCATCAGTCTCTACAAGATTCGCACGCCACCCAGTTTTTCAGTTTCAGAATACCCCGAATACTTGAAAATTGCGACTATACGATAAAATAAAACAAAGATTGTGAAGGGGATAAAATTTGTAGGCAAGCATTGCTCCTGAACGGCAAGTGTTGGTGTCCGGCGAAACAAGCGAATCCGTATACTCCTGTACAGCGTAAACAGATTACGCGAGGTTTATATTTGTGTTTATTTATATTGAACTAAGTCAGATCTACAGGGTGTATAAAAAAAAGCGCAATCCTCGACTGAAATGTAAATTGCTAAACAAATAATAGACGAAAACGTTAAAGTTTACATTCATTTTAAAGCGTAGCCATTCAGCTTTCTAACAGTGGGTTGTTTCTTAAATTTGACTCATTGGCTCGCGGGTAATAATACTTTACGTTATTGCGATTGGAGATTAAAAAAATTGAGATGGAATAACAAATCGTTCTCATGAAAATAACTGATTTTTTCATTAAAACAAAAAAATGTTGCATTTTAATAAATGGATTGTAACAATAAGTATAATTACGGCTTTTCTTCTACTATTTTTAACACAGTTTGAAACTTCAAATGCGATATAATTTTGGCTTGGACCATCTAAGCTGACTGACATCAGCTTGCTATAATTTCTGTTTACATTACATCGCAATTCGATGACACTCTGGCTCAGACACCAGAATGTTTTGACGATTTTTAGCATTCGTTTAGGATTTTCAAACAACCTGGTCTCTTTTAAAATACTTTTAATTTGTTCTTACGTGGTTTTCCAGATGTAGTGACGACAACATTAAAGTTTAAAGAAGAAAATTCTAACATTTAAACCGACTAAACAATAACATAGTAAACTTGCATAATTAAACAGCAACTAAAAATGATAGGTTTTACTAAATCTTTTCCTGTGCAATTATTACTAGCATTGGAGACAAGGATAATAGTTTGTTTGAAAGAGAAAAGAACAGGCTTTGAAGTAAGCCTAAAAGCGTTTAACTAGGAATAGTATTTCGAAAGTTATTAAGCACAAAAGATGAATTGCGTTTATTTTGATACACCCTGTATAAGAGCATATTTAAACAAAATATTAATTATAGCAATAGCCATATTGTTCAAGACGAGAGAAAGGAAATTTCGTGTGAATCACCACTTGCATGGAGACGCCTAGATGCAACTTGGATGTAGCTTTGCCTGTAGTTGAAAATCTCCAGAAATATCGGTATATCTTAGAAAACATAGATTTTAGCTGATTCGTGCCAAACTTCGCTCTACACATAAATAATATCGATTGGAAGTCTTTTGGCTATTTATTTGTTTCGAAGACTTGTATATTTCATTAAAGAATATCTCGCCACTCCTTGACGAGTAGCTATCAAATACTGCCATTTTTTGTCGTCATGTGACCGGCCCAGACCAGGGCTTCCACGTGTCTCGCCTCGTCCTCACACTGAAGCCCTGGGAACGAGGTTGGCCGGTGGTAAAACATTCGTATTTATCATATGTTGCCAATTATTTGTTGCTGGTGCACCAACTAATGTTTTTACTATACACACAGATTGCTAATTCTAAAAATCAGCATTTTGAACAGCAATAAGTAAATAAATAATTGCCGTCTATGACAATATCATGATTTAACACCCCATGTTTTATTTATACCTTCAATGATCCAAAGGATACAATTAGCTCACTACATAATTGGTTCTTTTTCTTTTAGAATAATATATCATTTATAAATCCCCCGTTCGAGGTATTCGGCAAACATTACGCTCAGTGATGATATTTCACTCGGGACGAAGCCCTTCGATCGGGTTTTATTTTTCCGATTTCCCCAAACGAAGGATCTTTAGATGATAAATGTACGTTTTATATCTTTTCTATCGTGTTCACTTATACCACTAACAAATCATGAAAAAAAAAGCCACGGGCTCGGTCTGTTCCACTAAGATCGGTCAAAGTTACAGGATAACGAAGTGCGTTATCCTTGATAAAATCATTTACAGCTTTCAGAAATATTCTGTGTGATATATCAAAAAATTTGGTTCCAGGATCATTCAATGGTACGATCTGGATTCCCCTGATATCTCTCAATTGGTCCAATGTTAAACCTAAAATGTATGGATTTTTGTAGAGGTCAGTTCTCTGTGACCAAATATCTTATACCTTAAATTATGAAACTGCAATCTTTCAGACACAATCAATATTGAAAGTATATATCAAATGGTTACGAATAACTGTTAAATACATTTTATTGCATTGATACAACTAAAAACCCATTAAAAATTTCTTGCTTGTTTGCTGATAGATGATAGATGGTTCTGTGATTGATTTGATCGTAGTTGGTTCTGTGCTTGACTTGATTGTTAGTTTTGTTGAAGCGGAATGTGCGTGTTATCGTTATGTTCTACTGCATATGCGTCCAGGCAGAAAACATTAGCGAGGCGGACAAATATTTGCTATCCAACGTCCTTGGCAGTTGCATGCAGGACATGTGTTCATTGATATACGAACAGAAGGTAAATATAAGGAAAATAGAAAAAACTCATCTGCTATACAAACCTGCAAAAATCGAATACATTTTATGCTTAGTAGATTTATATGCATATGCGCATATAAATGTCAAAGACAGAAAGTTCCACTATAATTGGCACGAGATGCAAGCTATTTTGGAAGGAGGAATGGGATTTTTTATTATTTTATTCCACAGAAAAACAAATGAAGTGTGTCTAAACTAACACGTACTGTACTTACTTCTAAGCCTTTTGTGTATCCAATCATCTGAAGATTCTTCATATGATACACATACATTTCCTTCTTGGTATTTTAGATCTAGTAAATCCCTTGGCAAATAATCTGTTGCCTGCATAAACCGCGTCTGATTCATCCAGTACTGACTGAATTTATAATTATTTCCTTGTTCTTGCCACTCAGACCAGTACTTATCAAGAAAGGTGTGATGCAGAAAGAACTCTGGCGTCCATGCTGCCTTCCCATGACACATGGTACTGCGCCATCCAACAGCAGAGCAGTGAACATTATTGTGCCAACTTTGGAAGACAGTCATCCATTGTACAAAATGGCGAGGTTTTAATTTGAACAAAATTGCAAGATGAAGAGCGCTCGCAATATCAGGCGTTGTATAATTGAAATATCTTGTCATTTTTAAGGCGGAATCTGGCCCGGATCCAGGAACCATTTTCCATTCAGGTTGTTTAAACGGCCCAGTGTCCACTACATGATTAACCGCGGGATTTCCATTTCCGCCAAAAGAGTAATCATTATCATCCCAAAGATTTATATCCCAAGGAGTTCCAACTGCCATGCTCCAATCCCAGTAAAGCAAAGTAACGTCGGGATCAATTTTCCTCAGAAGATTTTCATATCGTTGAATAAACCAACGGTGAAAAGGTAGAAAAAATACATTACAATGTAGTGCTTTGCAAAAATGATATCCGTGAGTTTCTATCAAATCGTAATATTCTCTTTGGTAACGTGGATCTGTTGATAAAGTTTTTAATGCATTGATATATCGTAGTCTTTCTTCCTTGCTCACACGCATGACATCTTTACGTATACGGTGCTCGCACGGAGATCTATCTGCCAAGTCTAAAGTTTTAAAAAAATCGTAAGCTAGCTAATTGCATTAGAATTATTCATATTCTATTGACTTATTATGAGAGCTTTGCCTGTAAGAATCACAGAATGTGTGGCAGAAATGAAAAACTGTAAGTTCTTAAATTTCCCTCAATTTTATATATATTGTAGACCTATCCAACCCCACACATTTACTGACGTTTCAGCCATGAAACACAAAATGATGAAAACTTAGGTGGAAATAGGTTTCCGGATCGCCGGATTTCACAAAAAAAATATCCGGATTTCGGATCTGGTGAATGTTTAACACGGATTTCGGATCTTATTAATACAGCAGAGTGCGGATTTGTCTAATATTTTGGCTAGGACCGCGGATTTTGTTTCAAATTTGGGCGGATCGGCGGATTTGTATACACCCCCAAGTTATGAGTTTTCAAAAATCGAACCAAAAATGACGCAAAATGTCCATGGCAAGAAATTTCGCTATATAAAGCAGTCAACATCATGTGCTGTGCTCAGTGCGCATTATAAGTTTTGGTCTGCTGTTATATGTTTTTAGAATATATATATGGAACTTACTCGTGATATCTTCCCTCCATACAGTAATCAAAATGTTATTGAATTTGTTATTTTAGATCAAATTAGATGGTTGTAATTTCCGGGTTCTCCAAACTAGCCAAATCAATTGAGTGCTTGGATTTTATTAACCGGCGCGTTACGCCTTGAAACAAAAAAATAGGTACACAGTGCGTACATGCTGCATGCTCTCTATCCTCCGCGGAGGCTTTAAGCCGAATTCACATATATGCCTGCGACGTACCGGCGACGATGCCGATGGTAGCTTTAAAACGAAAATTATGTGAACATTTGTTTGCCGATTGCCTCCAGTGTCACAGTTGCATCGGCGGTAGGCCGGGAAAGTTGATTTGAGTTCAACTTTGTCGGGCCGGTATTTCGGCGGCAAGTAAAGGCATAATGATAAAGTCGCAGGCATACCGCAGGCATATGTGAACCAGGCTTTGGTTGCCTTTCCAGTTTCCTTTCCTTTGCCCTTTTCCGCCCGCGCTCCTTCGCCCAGCGGTTCCGCCCGTGTTCCGAGATCCGCCACGTAAAATATAGTGAAATGTATCTCACCGTGATCAATCATGATCGCAAAATATCAATCGCGAGACATTTTGCACTGAATGGAAAACCAACTTTATGGTGCGCATGCAAGCATCTATAAATAGGAATACATATATATATATATATATATATATATATATATATATATATATATATATATATATATATATATATATATATATAAATACATATATTTTGTGTATATTTTAAAACTTTATTTTACGAATAAAAACCACAAGAATATTATACCAGACATGTTTCGTCAAACACAGTATATATATATATATATATATATATATATATATATATATATATATATATATATATATATATATATATATATATATATATATATATATATTATTATTATTATTATTATTATTATTATTATTAAATTGAAACCACATTGCAGCCAGAAGCTGAATTGCGTGGATTACATATTATCACATGCACTACATATAAATATATTATTAATACAATATTATAAAAACCCACCCACGATCAAAATTCGATTAAAATAAGCATAAAATCTATCCTACAAACTTCCTACACATAGCAGGGATAAAAGAGTTATAAAAGCGGTTCGTGCGTGTAACGTACATATTAAAATACCGATTCGTCCTGAAAGAATAATCAGTCTCGTTCTTCGGGGGCAGCAGATGATGAAGTTTATGCATTGGATCTTTGATGATACTCGTAAAGAGTTTGTCACACATGTCCTCTCTTCTTTGAAATAGAGTAGGCAGTCTAAAATACTCAAGGGCCTCACAATATGTCATTTCAGGAGATAAAATTTTTAGCACACGTTTCTGGACAGTCTCAAGTTCGTCTGCCAAATACTTTGGGATGGAATGATGGAAGGCTTGCGCACAATACTCGAGCACAGGCCTGATCCCTGTACAATAAAAGTTCAAGACATCATTGACATTTACGCTTGCCCGTTTCAATAGTACTATAAAATAGAGGCGTTTATTAGCTTTCTTTATACTCTCTCTGATGTTATCTTTCCCCTGAAGTGTGCCTGTCATAACAAGACCCAATATTTTTGCACTCTCAACTATAGGCAATGCTTCTCCACCCACCAGTACAGGATCAAAATGTTGTTTAATTCTTTTAAAATCGATTCTCAGTTCTTTACATTTCTCAGTGTTAAGAGATAGCCCATTTGCCTTCGACCAATCTTCCACAACATCAACTGCGACTTGAACACGACTCTCTGTGTCCTTACTAACTACTTCAGCAACTGTTGTGTCATCAACAAACTTCCACCTCGATATATCACAAATATCAAGATCGTTTATCATTAAACAAAATAGCCAGGGCCCTAATTTTGTACCTTGAGGGATACCGGAAAGTACATCTCCCCACTCCGATATATATATATATATATATATATATATATATATATATATATATATATATATATATATATATATATATATATATATATATATATATATATATATATATATATATATATATATATATATATATAAATATCAAGAAACCAAAAACTTCAAAGTAAATAAATTATATTTTTTACGTTTCGGGGACAAGCCCCTTCATCAGAATAACACTACATCATCTCCGTCTCTTGCTTAAATAGTCTAACGTTTAGCTATACATAAATTAATTAAACCTCTTCCCTTAAATTAAGCCCACGTGGGACATAACTATTAAGTTTCTCAATCCAAAAGCTCTCCCTCTCAGTGGGGTTATTAACGTCCGTGACGTCAATAACCTGCACTAAAAAATCACTTAGACCTGAATGTCCCTCCCCCCAAAAATGGGCATACAATTGTTGCCCACAAATATTTCTCTGCCCCCGCCCATATCTATTTAATGCACTCTTGTGTTTATTAAATCCCAATCTGAACGGTGTTATGGTATTCCCCTAAACGTTTGACTATTTAAGCAAGAGACGGAGATGATGTAGTGTTATTCTGATGAAGGGGCTTGTCCCCGAAACGTAAAAAATATAATTTATTTACTTTGAAGTTTTTGGTTTCTTGATATTTATAAATGAAGATTTTTGGGGGCTGGCTGTTGATATATATATATATATATATATATATATATATATATATATATATATATATATATATATATATATATATATATATATATATATATATACTGCAGGGCTTTCGTTCGGATGCTACGACGGTCACCGCCGGCTACTTTGTTTAGTATTCGAAAAACAAAAATTCTGGTCATAGTTCTCCGCTCTAAGCTTTCAAAAGGCTATTTCCCTAATCCCGATGTACTTTCTACTCTCGACACGATGTGAGTTTTGTAGTGCATTTCGTGAAACCTATCGAATATTGCCGCTACTTCAAATTATTGTGTTGTAGAATAACTTATGGTACACTACTTCAAGTACAGCATAGAATTACCTCGCGCGCCTGCGATCTTAGCACATGGTCTTGTGTACCGAAGTCAATGATGTGTGACAAACGTCGCAGCACCCTATTTTCTTTTGGAATTGTTAAAAAAGTTAATGGTAGGCAAATTATTCAGTTTACGTGTAAATATAAATTTGTGAAGCAGTCGTTTAGAATAGTTTTCATTTTCAATACTCATGATTTATATTTTAACAAACATGTTTTCAATATTTGTGCTGGTGTTTTTGAGTAACTTTAGGCTTTTACACAGTCTATTCTGTGTTGTTTTTCCACGAAATAAACAAAATTGATACTTTTATGTGTTCTATCGTCGCTTGCAACTAAGGATGAACGGTCGCAGATAAAACATTGTCTTTTCTTATGACAAAGTTCAATGTTTTACCGAGAAACTGCAATGTTTGTGATGATCATTTGATGGTTTCAATTCGCTCAGCTAATCAGCTTGGAGCTGGTTGAACGTGATTGTCTGATCTGATTAAAACCTGTCAAGTGCTCTTGACAAACTTTGAAGATTCTCACGCGAAAATGCAATGTTTTTATGAGCGACCGTTTTTCCTTAGTTGGAAGCGACAGCACTGCTTATTTGCGCTTCGCTATTTTGGTTTCATAGAAACTCTTTTAAGTTTTAAAAGTGTCTTATACTGTACTGTCTTAGTAACTTACATTTTAGATAACTATTCACCAGCAAACGAAACCTCAGAACCAAAGGAAAATGTAACTGAAGGCGAAACTGAAGAACAGTCACCAAATGCTATTTTCCAGTCGTTATCTTCCCAGATTCCTTTTCAGAAAGAACCTCAACCTGGCCAACCGGTGAAAACCATTAAGTCAAACCCAGTTCCAAAGGACGAAGTGAAGTCGCTCCTAAATTCGTCATTTCGTAGTAAGGAAAGTTTGCATAGCTTCTACTGCTGTGCAGACAAAAACTGCACAAACACAAGTAAAGAAGAAACTGTGCGAATCAAAGCCAAGGACAAGTTTCAACATGCCTGGATTTTCGACGGAAAACTTACCTACTGTGATAAAACTGGTTATCATTGACTTGTTTATGAGGAAGAGAAAGGAATGTTTTGCATTTTATGTAGAGAGCATGACACCGCGAACCCTCAGAATAAGACCAAAAAGTTCAACATGGATGCCTCGGTAAGATACAAGCGTAAAACAGTCGAGGAACATGCTCGTTCTGCAGAGCATATGGCATCCATCGAGACCGAACTTCTTAGTAGAGTTTCAACTTTCCAGAAGGAAATCAAGCTGAGAGAACAAGTCAGAGATGATTATCTATTATAACGCCTTCCTTTCTTTGTATTGGACTGCTAAACAAGAGCTTCCCAACTGCAAGTTTACACGTCTTCTTCAACTTCTGAAAAAACTTAATCTCCCAGATATCGAGTTATTTCAACATCGATCGGCAGGCTCGGTACGTGAAATGTTTCTTCTTCTTGGACAAATAATTAAAGAAAAAATCCTAGAACGGGTAACACAAGCAAACTGCATTAGCATGCTTTGTGATGAAGTTTCGGACGTGTCCAACAAAGAGCAGCCAGTAAATTTCGTTCAATTTGTAGACCGTGATTTTGGCAAGGCAGAGATCGACTTTTTAGCAGTGGACGATGTGTTGGAAGACTTCAATTTTTTCCAATGCGGAAGCAAATAAAAGCATGATAAAGAAGCAAATGAGCAATTCGAAGCTGGATATTCACAGCCTGTCGGGTCTTGCAACAGATGGCGCAGTGTCATGACAGGAAAGAGAAATGGCGTTTCTGCTCTCCTACGTAGAGAGTCCAAATTGCTTCTTAATGTGCATTGTATATGTCACCGTCTTGCTCTTGCATGTGGAGTTGAAAATTACCATGTTCAGTACATCCAAACAGTGGAAAAAATTTTGGTGCAGCTTTGGTAGTTTTCCAACAAACTCAGCCAAGAAATGTGCATTATATGCCAAAGCCACTATTGAGGCAAAGTCAATATCAGTATCTAATGCAGGGAAAAAAGTTCTAGCCAAAAAGTTCAAGAAGGCTTGCAGAACACGATGGCTCTCCACAAAAAGAGCGATCAACGGAGTATGCCAGGATTTCGTTTCTCTCACTTAAACCTTGAGAGCGTACAAAGAAGAGAATGATTGTACTGCGATTGGACTACTGAAAGCAGTGGCAAACATCAAGTTTCTTTCCACTGTGTATCTTCTCCATGAAGTTCTTCCTGCTCTTTCACATCTTAGCAAGGCGTTTCAGAAAGGAAATATCTCCTTCTCAGCTATCCATTCTGCAGTTTTGTACACAACTGACCAACTCGTTGAAATTGCTGCCAAACAAAAGTCCTTGGAAAGTCTAAAAAGAGACCTCGAGGAAGATGGTAAGCTTGCCAGCACAGAGTTAACTCTCACTACATCCAGCGAGGACTATCTGCGAAACCTAACGACGAAGTATGTTGACTCGTTAACAAAAAATATCGAGAATCGATTCTCGGAAAGTCTTCTCATATTTACCGCTTTCGAGATACTTGATCCAATGGGCGTTCCTGCTATATCCGACGAGGCTTTCAAAGAGTATGCCATTTCTCAGATCAAGATCTTTGCAGATCATTTTTTTCAGGAGAAAAAGAAAAAGAAGGAATTGACGGAAGAAATAGAGTGCGAATGGAGAAAAATTAAGTACAACTTACTTGAGCTAAAATATCAAGTTTCCCAGCATATTCTTGATCCCTCCCCCAAAAACAAGAATTTATCCGCCCAGACTCCGACAGAATGATTTTATCCTCACGATTAACGTACCAGCACTTCATGCCCCTCCTTCTCTACATCGCTGAATTGAAGTTTGTTTGTCCCTTCCTATGTCGAATGCGTGGCCAGAAAGATGTGCTTCCACCCACAAGCTGTTAAAGACTCGTTTAAGAAACAGCCTCAAGAATGATATGCTTGATTCACTTATGCACGTAGCCATCAATGGGCCAGATATCAGTAGCGATGACTGTGGATCTTTGATTTAAGATGTAGTTAAGAAGTGGCGCGTTATGAAGCGAAAGAAACTCGCCAAAAAGAAGCCAATGGAAAATCCCACATCTGATTCAGATAGTCCTTTTGTTACACAAGCGGAAATGCAGCAAAGCCAAACTCTAGATAATGATTCAACGCACGAGTACGAAATGTTCAATGAGGAAGGCGATCATTACCAAGTAATCGAGGCCATTATCGCAGAGTTAAACCTGACCAAGGACTGTGACTTAGATTCTGACGGGGCTTCTGGATACAGATTCGGATTCAGAAAGTAATTATTAAGATCGTCGCATTTTAGCGGTCTTGAAATCAAAAGATTCCGAGGTGGTACCCAATTCAGTTGAACACACTCTTGATTGACCAATAACAAAAAGAATTTTTATTCATAAATATAAATTTACATCGTATTTATTTATTATTGATGTAAGTTTTTGAAACTTTGAAGAGAGACCGTGCAAAACGTTGGGCAATTGTAAAGGAACAGAAACTTTGTTTCAATTGTTTGGGTCACCACAAATCCTCAGCATGCCTGTCAAAGTTTCGCTGTCGCTCATGTAAGGGAAAACACCATACCAGTCTCTGTAATGAAGGTCAGCCAAAACCTGAAAAACCTTGACCAGCTGCAAACGTTACTGGGAACACCTCGGGTACTGTTGTCCACACCACTATGACCCCTATTGCCCCCCTAACTAATCCCACCCACACGGAAACCTTGCTCAAAACAGCCATAGCAACAGTTCGTAATCAGACCACCTACTGTGAAGCAAACATTCTCTTTGACGAAGGAGCACAAAGATCATTCATTACCAAAGATTTAGCAACCCGCTTGCAACTACAACCCACAGAAAGAGAATTTATCAGTGTATCTGGCTTTGGTGCTCAAACTTCAGCTGCAAGGTACCTCGAGTCCACTGTCATCAACCTTAAGACCATTACCAATGATGAAATCCCACTACGCGTACTAATTGTTGAAAGAATAGCAACACCACTTCAACTTCGTTCACATCACCATATCAACAACATCCCACATCTGAAGAACCTTCAACTTGCACACCCTGTAACAAATGATGAGAATTTTGAAATTTCCCTCCTCGTTGGAGCCGACCAATACTGGGACATCATCGAAGACCAAGTCATCCGTGGAAATGGGCCTACTGCCATGAAATCCAAAATTGGTTATCTACTATCAGGTCCGCTAAAAACTGACCAACCAGTACATTCGATTGCAAATTTTCTCCAGATATCCTCAGATGAATACGACCTACAACGATTTTGGTCTCTAGAGTCATTGGGAATAACATAAACAGAATCCTCATAAACAATTTCTTGAACAGTATCAACAATCATTCATCAGCCGTGACACGAATGGCAGTAACATAGCAGGATTTCCGTGGAAACCAGAACACCCACCTCTCCAATCTAACTACACGGTATGCGAAAGGAGAACAAGATCGATGGCACGTCGCCTCAAACAAACACCGGAACTACTCCAGACATATAGTAATATCATCACCGAGTATGAAAGTCGTGGATTTATAGAGAAAGTTCAAACAACTCAGCACTCAGACAAAGCTTATTATATTCCTCACCATCCGGTAAAGAAAGAATCGTCTACGACCCCTATTCGGATTATCTTTGATTGCAGTTGCCGTCAACATCCCGATTTGCCATCACTAAATGATTGTCTTGAGGTCGGACCGTCATTTCTGAACGACCTTTGTGGCATTCTTCTACGATTTCGCTCATATCCTTATGGATTCTCAACAGATATCGAGAAAGCATTCCTACATGTTGGCCTAAACGAAAGTGACAGAGACTTCACAAGATTTCTCTGGTTATCTAATCCAACCGACCCAGAAAGTGCATTTCAGATCTATCGATTTAAAGTCGCATTGTTTGGTTCCACAAGTTCTCCATTTATGCTCAACGCAACACTACATTCACACTTGAACGAACACAACTCACCAATAGCTAAAGATATCAAGAATGATTTGTATGTTGATAACTTTATTTCTGGCCGTGACACTGAAGAAGAAACCCTTCAATACTACAATGAAGCAAGATCCATAATGACCGAAGGTAACTTTAATCTACGCTCGTGGGCTTCAAACAGCAAGGTTTTGCACACACAGGCAACCAGTGACAACGTAGCAGACAAGAATGAAGTCGTTAATCTCCTTGGCCTGAAATGGACTCCCTCAACTGACACCCTGACTTTAAGTCCAAAACTAACAAGCTCCCCTCCAGAAAGTACCTATACCAAACGTGAAGTATTACGTCAGGCTTCCAAAACCTATGACCCTGTCGGGCTGATTTCCCCAGTCACCATCAAGGCAAAAATATTCATGCAAGAGTTATGGAAGCAACACCTAGAATGGGATGAACCACTGTCAATAGAACTTAGTACAGCTTGGAATGCTATCGCCAAAGAGATTGAAAAGGCTACTCAAATTACATTGCCAAGAACTTACTTCCAATGCCAGAACTCGAATTCAGAGAACACTCAATTACACGTATTCGCTAATGCAAGTATCAAAGCATATGGCGCAGTCGCTTACCTGTGCAATGAAAATCAGACATCGCTAGTTATTTCGAAGTCACGAGTGGCACCCCTTAAACAGCTAACTCTACCACAGTTGGAACTTATGGCCGCATTAACTGCAGCTCGGTTAGCAAGTTTTGTCAAGCAAGCCTTGGAACAAAGGTATTCCAATTTAGAAATCTATATTTGGTCAGACAGCGAAATCGTTCTACATTGGTTAAACAGCGACAAAACACTGAAACAGTTTGTTGCGAATCGTGTTCAAGAAATTAAACTACTCGTCCCCGCAACACACTGGAACTATTGCCCCACTAAATCCAATCCTGCTGATTTACTTACTCGTGGCATCAACTCAAAACAACTTAAATCTTCAAACCTCTGGAAAGATGGCCCAGAATGGCTACTTTGTAAATCACGTTGGCCATCTTGGAACGCGGCAAAGGTTCTCCACATTAACGACATCGACCTGTCAACGAAGAAGTGGTACCGGTACCCGAAGAACCACCACCATTAACGACTGTTCCAGGTATACATCAAGTCATCGATATTTCCAGATATAGCACACTCAACAAGCTGCTCAGCGTTACCGTCTACGTTCTGAGATTTGTGAAAATTATCATGAAACAACAAAGGGACAAAGGATCTCCTACCGTTGCAGAGAAACGCGAGTCACGATGTCGATGGATCCTGAATTCACAAAGCTTGACGTACAGTAAGGAAATTGAGAACATTCAGTCTAAATCGAAGATCCGTTTACCACTAGTGAGACAACTGCGTTTGTTTATCGACGAGAAAGGTTTCATTCGCTGCGGTGGAAGGCTCCATAACGCACCCCTTACAGAACAAGCGAGGTTCCCTTACCTTCTACCACCAAACCATCCGTTTACCGCCCTCGTCGTCTACGACACCCATACCAAGCAGCTTCACTCTAGTACAGCCTCGACAGTCACCGCGCTTCGCCAAAACTTTTAGATTGTATCAATGCGTCAGTACGTTAAGAAATTACTACGAAAGTGTGTAACCTGCAAAAAGGTTGATGGAATACCGTATGAAGCCCCCGATTCAGCCCCGCTACCAAAGATTAGGATGCAGCAGACGGTTCCCTTTTCTGTCACCGGAGTCGACTACACGGGCCCCTTGTACGTAAGATCAAATAACGGTGAAATCAAAAACTATATTTGCCTATTTACCTGTGCAACGACGAGAGCCCTGCACTTGGAAGTTGTCGCAGACCTGACTGAAAGAAGTTTTCTCCAAGCTTTCCGCCGGTTTGCGAGTCGCAAATCTTTACCGAATCGTATGGTATAGGATAACGCCTCAACATTCACAGCTAGTGCAGATGAACGAAAGGAACTATTCCAGTCACCGAGCCTAAAGGAAACATTCTCTAATCGAGGTGTCATTTGGCAGTTTATACCCAAAAGAGCTCCTTGGTTTGGTGGTTTCTGGGAGCGACTTATTGGACTTACCAAGAAATCCCTCAAGAAAAACTCGGAAGATCCTTCGTAACCGTCTCCGAACTACAAACAATCGTAGTTGAAATAGAAGCAATTCTTAACGATCGACCTCTAACCTATCTTTCCAGCGACGTCCAAGACGATGAGCCACTCACCCCTTCCCACCTCTTGTACGGGAGCAGAATTACTTCCTTACCTTACCCACATTACGGAGATGAATTAGAGGACCCCAACTACCGAGATGATACGGCCTTAAGAAGAAGAAACAACCTACAAGCGGCAGTTTTACAAAGATTTTGGTCTCGTTGGCGACACGAATATTTGACATCACTTCGCGAATTTCATAGAAGCAGTGGGAACAACGAACAAACGATAAAGAAAGATGAACTAGTTATGGTCCACGATGATAATTTATACCCAGAAACACATGGAAATTAGCAATCATAGAAGAACTTATTCGAGGAAACGATGGATTAGTGCGAGCCGCAAACATCCGCACAAAAAATGGTCGCACGAACAGACCAATCACCAAATTATACCCGTTAGAGATCTCCGCAGAAATTAGCAAAGAACAACAGAAACAATCGAATGGCGCGGAAGAAACCGACACGCGAACAATTGCTGAAAACAATTCATCACGACCAAAGAGAGCGGCGGCTCTAAGAGCAAGAAAAAATATTTCAAAATGGGTCGAAGAACTTTCCCCGGCCCCGGAAAATGTTGAATAATGCCAGATTAGATTACTAACTTTGAACC